ATTACTACAGCGTTAGGAGATTCCTTTATTTTTATTTATAGTACACAAATATTAAATTTCCATAATTTATTTTGAATAAAGATATACAACAGGCGAGCTTAACTCTGTAGAGCTTTCTTCCAGCAGACCCTGAGAGGGAAGTAGCATTAGTAGCCAACGGGCAATGCGTGTACAATAAAAAGAGGAAACAGTATGGTTGTGATTTTTCTACTATGAAATTATGTTTATCTAAATACATATTAATTTATATAATTTATCGTACACTACCCTACAATTGTAATTTTTTATGGTTCCAATAAATACATTTAATTTTTTTTTTATTTAAGTATTAACTTACCATTAAAATACATATATATCTCTATAGAATTGTATATGTATATATGGCAACATGAACGTGGTCTCCTCCGAAAATAATCATAGTTGATTCAAGGTGAATTCATCACTGATTCATGACATTATTTTCACCTATCGCCCCTCACACCGTGAGCGTAAATCAATAATGCACGTAAAGGGCACCAGTCCACTTTTATTAATTAAAAAAAAACTTAGCCCATCTGCTTGCAGCAATGTGGACTCCTAATGTACTCGTAATTATAATAAAAACTACTTGCTGAAGGGATATAAAATGTATTGCAACACAAAATAGTAACTTTCTTATTTCCCACCATTAGCCTCAATACCTGCGTAATTAGGTTCTCGTGTTAAGGCGAAAATTATCCTACTCGTTGATAGCTGGTTCTAGTAAAGATCGCGACAACATAGTTGTGGTAAAGTGTCAACTGATAATGTACAGACAGCAGACACCTTTCTCTGGTAGGCGATTAGACAGTCGCTTCGCACGATGGAGCGACAAATCAATGTACATTGTTGGACGTATCACACATTTTCTGATGTTATTAATATGCTCGTAGTAGCTATGCAAAAATACACATGCACACTTACACAATTTTAAAATGTATTACTTCACCAATATACATATATTTTAAATTAACGATCAAGATTAAAGTGGACACGATTACAGATAAATAGTAGCTACATATGTCATTTTTATTGCTGGCATTTCGATAGTGACAATGTGAGGGTGGCCGAAGAATCTATGCGAGATGCCAAGAGACGCAGTTCATTTCAATGTTGCCGTGATCACGTCGAATATTATTTACCTGTAATCACGTCGCGTTCAGTCCCGATTGTGAATTTAAAATGTGTAAACAACGAAAAGTTTAAAATTAACTATATGTACGTATTTTTTATTGATTGCCATTTTAAACGATAAGTAAACGGATTTTATTGATATACTCGAATATCGAAAACATAATTACTTTCTATTTTAAAGGATTCTCGTAAGCACGGTATAATTTTCGAAAAGAATGTAAAAGAAAAAGCTATCACTAAAATATTAAAATACTGCTTTTTAATATAATTGTAACAAAAAAAAAAAAAGTTATTATACAATATTATTAAAATATCAAATAATGATTTTATGACTGAAAAACTTTTTCGAAGCGGACGGGAAGAGCATAATTTTTAGACAACTTTTAACCGAACTTTGAGATTACAAATACCGACAAGCTTAAAACATAAACAGTAACATGTAGTCCACTACCGTTACGGTACTGTCGTAACACTATTTGGACCCGAGCAGCCATTGTACTGCAATAAAATCAAGACAAACGGTCTCTTTCAATTCTCGGCTGATTGCCTGTCGAATACAGAACATACCGAGCACCGATAGCCACTCAATCAAGAGCAAGTTTAAGTGGGCCAAGTCATTACTCGAGCCCTAAAGTGGGACGAATTTTGTATCAAATCGTATATTGTGATATTTCCACATGGTGATGACTAGGTGATTGTTACACTGAACAAATTAAAATAACTAGCCAACTAACCTAAATTAAACCTCGTTTTTTTATGTTTTGGAAGGGATTGTGTAATTGGACGATTATACATTTATTCTGTAATTAATTTGTATTGAAAAACAAATGTACTATTTGTAAAGAAACTCTAACACGATCAACAACCTATAAAGATAGCTGTACTAGGAGTTTTGGTGAGCGCTATAACCTGAAACCAAAATATTCGCTTAACACTTTGCTGAATCTGTTTTAAGCGCCACACGAATCAAGGAGTACTGTTGAAGGGACCTACTCAAATCCCAAAGTAAGTTCTCATCAGTTAAAGGGTTAAGAACTGAAGTATTTAAATTGGTTACTTTGTTTATAAGCGATTATCCTCGAAGGAAAGAGAAGTTTTAATTGTAGAGGAATGACGATCACACAACTGGAAGACAGAAGTTCTTTGGGAATAACCACTGAAAAGATTCTTAAATGGTGACAGAAACGCAGTGTTCAATACAGAACATAAAATTTTAACATTATAAAAAATATATTTTTTGTTCTGGCAATGTTCATATTTTTTTGTTATTATATAAAGAATATTTTTTCTAAGTGGCAATATTGTATTGTATGTCATTAACAAATATACACATAAAAAGTCTTATGCTATTATATGTGTAGGTTCAATATACTATATTAAAATAAGTTTAAGCCTTTTCAATAACACGCAATGTTAGACGACTCCAAACCACATGAAACAACGAATTCGCATGCCGATATATTTATGATCAAGTGGTATGGAAGTTTCTGAAGACGGTCTATATTCAGCAATAGAACTTATTGGAACTCAGTAGTAGTATCAATTTTTAAAAAAGTTCTTTTGCTGAAATATTCTTTCAAGTCATAAAATCTCTTTCGACACTAAAGTTATTCATTGAATCACCAGCAAATAGAGGCCAAGGCTTGGCCCCGGTCTGTCTTGAAGCGCGAAGAGCCCTTAACTGTGTCGACTTCTAATGGACTCATTATCGCGGTTAATGGCAAAATAGAATTCCACACGCAGGTACACTTACAAATTGAAACAATTACAGATTTTAAACACTACTTAACAGATACCTCCCTATGTTTATAAATAAGATGTAAAATAAATGTTATACTATACAGATTATTTGCATTGCCAAAGACAGAGCTATCGCAAAACTTTCTTAAAAATCTTGATTTATTTTGATTCTTTTAGACAACAGAATGGCAAACCAACTGACGGCTCACCAGATGGAAAGTGGTAACCGTCGCCTATAGACATGAACAGTTACATGGACACTATACTGTACTGTATCACCTATTATACCCTTCATGCGTTGACAATAATAATAATAATTATAGGCTTATAATCTATTAATGCTATTTTGAGAAGACGAAATAGTACAAAATATTAAGGTGGATTTAAAACGTAGGAACCAAGAGCACAGAATAAAAGCTAGAATTGAACGAAGTCTAGAATTTACAACCAGGTGATAAAAGATAGCACAGATGATCATAATGTTGGTATGTTTACACATAAGTGACATCTACCACATTGAAACAAGTCACACATTAGTTTGCTTACTATCTCCAATAGCAAACATGATATGTAAATATTTTAAATCCGTGTCGGTATATTTGTAATAGGTAAATAACAAACTTCAAGTAAATAAATACCGACAACGCATTAGCTCATTATTAAAGCCTATTAAAGTAAGAAAGCCTGCAGTGAGTCAAAACGGGAAGCGACAGCGTCGTCATTCAAAGCGGATTATAAGACATTAACACCAAGTGGCGCCACCGCGCGGTATTTCGAATAATTAATTAACATGCGCAGTGTGTACTCAATATAAATTTCATATCCGCAAGAGTATTAAACAAATTGGATTATCAGTATTATGCCGTTAAGTACTTATGTATTGGCGTAGACTGCAAGAAACCACTATCTACTATTTACCAGAGGGTGACTTTGTACAAAAGTCATTTGGCACCTCTACAAAGTACAAAAACACTTGGGCATCTCTGTCCCATTCGTGTTTCTACCGTGAAGCAGTTATGTTTGCATGACTGTGTTTCGGTTTGAAGGGTGGAATATGGCAATGAATTTACATGGTACAGAGGAATAACACCTGAGTCCTCAGGAATGGCAACGCATGGGAGGTATCATGGGCGAAACATTATAGTCTGTTATGCACATGGTACTACTCATGTCTATAGGCGTCGGTTGCCACTTTCCATCAGTACCAGTTTCCATATCAAATTGGTACATAAAAATCATTATTATGCGACTAAAGACTCTAAAATCACCTGTAGATTAACGTATACACAGATCGGACAACGCCCACAGATAAGCGAAACACACGAGTCCTAGTTGTATATGACTAGAAACAACGATCATTATTTATATGGTCAAAGAAATCGTAAATCATTTCGCGATGATAAAGTGTTACCCACTCGACCAACCCACTGCAAACAAGAGGATGTCTATTATGTTCTGAAGCAGGCTATTCTAAGTAGGTACAGGTTAACTATAATCTAATTTATGATATAGATCTTTGAAAATAAGATCTGAGACAGATCGCCGGAATATTTGAAAGTAGATGTCTTGATGAGACCAAAGCCAAAGGCGTAATTAGTTTGTTTCCATTAACTTATATATATATATATATATATATATATATATATATATATATATATATATATATATATATATATATATATATTAACATTTTGTACTTCATTTCTAACATTAAAAAAAATAGTTTTGAAATATTAGGAACGAAATATTGTCATGTTTTCAATTTAGAATAAAAATTCGTAATTATAAATGTTAATAAATACAATTTTTTAAATTGCATAATATTGTTATAAATTGAAAACATTTTAACATAGTCAATATCTCATTACTGACTTCGATATTGAAGAGGAAAATGGCAACGCTCATGCACCGTGGCATTATTACAAATGATTAATATTCAATGAACTTCCTGGTACTTTTTGTATGGCATACCAAAATAAATTCAATTGTACACAAACTACCTATTAGAAAAACTATTTAACATAATATTAAACATAAATAGATTCCGTTTGGTGTTCAATAATTCAAATTAAAAAATATCTAATAGTTTAAAATAAGTTTTAACTTACCTGAACATCTCTCCTGGGCTGCGGCAGCCTCATCACAGGATGAAGCGCTGGAGCCGGCATCCTGAGTGGCGGGGGCACTACGGGCCTGTGTACCAGGGGCGGCGGGGGCAAAGACGGTCTCGGGCCTTGCACCACCGTGACGGAGGGCACGAGAGGCGGCGGCCGACGTTCCATTGACCGTTCGACAATGGCGAGGTGTTCCGATGGTCGAATGAGTCGGGGCGGCGGGTTACGAGCGGACTCGGGGACAACGGAGCCAGGGTGAGTGACGGGGACAACGGGGCCAGTGTGGGTGCTGGGGACAAGGGTGCGCGGGCGCGGTTCCGGCGGCCGCGCGGCGGCGTGTCGCGGCGGCGGCGCCGGCACGCGCCTTCCTCGCCCCGCCTCCGATTCGTCTGTCATTGGTGCGCGCCAATCTGTCAACAAACGAAAATTTAATTTAAATATTAATAAAGAACAGTACGAAAGAGAAACTTCTTTGTTACCTAGCTTTATTCGTGGAACTAGATATTCAGTTCGATTTATTCAGAATACCTACTCCTAAATGCCGAATACTACGTGCATGCCAAATTTTATGACGGTTCATACCATAAAATAAATACATAAAATAAAGTTTCCCTCTCATAGAATACCTTCACAATCTATCTAAGCGATTATTCATATTTATACATTTTTTTTTTAATATTATAGATGATAATGGAATGGTAATCCCGCTTGCGCTAACGATATACGCTGGTGGGGCATCAGGGAGGGATTATAGGTGTAGATGGAAGCAGGTCATTTAGCCCATTGTGATGTGACCTGGAATTCAGCACGATGGTTTCCAGGGGGACCACGTAGAGGTCGACCTAACGGGTTATATTGCTAGCAATAGGACTGGTAGTTCGCATTACTAACAATCCCTTCCCCCTACCCATATTCATGCATTAGGAGACATTTATCAGCGTCCTGTACTTTTGCGTAATCTGAATTTTTATTAAGAGAAGTAATAAAAATAGTCGATTGCCAAACGACGTGTAAACCAATAAAAAATCCCAGCAGTTATGTACCGTAATTAGTGATTAGATTAATAAAACTACTGTATTCATAATAATTATTTATATCTATGTCAAGTATGTTGTTTCGAAACCAATAAAATGCACATAAGTAGACATGAGTAGAATTACAGTAGACACATATAATTAAGGCGACACCGCCCGCAAAAGATATCAGTTGTACACGATGTAGTATACAATTATATTTTGTGTTAATGCAATATAAAATTTACCTTGTTACCAAATTATGTGTCTTAAATTATACACTTGCCCTTCGATCAACAATATCGACTAGATACTTTATAAGCTTAAATATACTAATAACAGATTACAGTATTAAACCAATATTAAGATTTTTTCTATAAAAAATAGCTACTTCAATTATAGTAAAATTAGTTACTTTGATGTAAAAACTATAGAGCTGAAAAGATTTTGATAAAATTTACTCCACCTTCATTTTCTTACGCATGTACCCAGTAAACGATCTGGTACCCAGTAAACCAATAAGGCAAACGGACCAGCCAATTTTTTAACAATTAAAAATAAGTGTCAAAAAATGATTAGTAAATATCTATATTCAAATCTAGATTAGATCATTAGATTTAGATAGATAGATACTATAAAAAAAAAGATAGATACTCCAAAAGATTACAATAGTAAACTTATTATAAATATAAACAATTACAAGAAATAATCACAATTTAGACACTCTTAAAGAGTTCTGTTGATGATAGTTAATAGTATTGACTTTTATTTATATAATTTACGTATTTGTTAAAAAAAAAAACACCGACTTCAATAGTGATAAAATTAATTATTTTGATTTAAAACTACTGAACTGACTTTAATATATTTTCTTTGATATCAATTTGAGAGTATACCGTTTCAGATAAAAATAAATCCAAATTGGTTAGTAAATGACGGAATTACGGGGTAAAGAACATAAAAAAATACAGAATTCAGAACCTATTTTGAAGTCTATTGTTTCGCAAAAAATAAACTGTTTCAATTATGATAAAATATAATTTATAATAGGATCAACAAATTGGCAAGAAAAGAAGAAATATAGCAAGAAGTAGGAGAATTAATTATTTGTGGACACTTAATTTTATATTTATGGATGTAATCTGAGAAAACAAAACAATATCGCAAAATAAACAAACAATTAGGGAGCGATTTGGTCGAACACATAAAATGATATTACACACTATCACGCGAACACTTCAAATACCAAATTGTCCGTATTTAGTTTATTATTGTCAGGAAACACGAAAACAATTAATGAATTTTATAATATAAAATAATATAGATGGACGATATATTTATAAGTACGATGTTTACATCAAGTAACCTTTCCGGAAACAATAATTATAATGATAATTATTGCTTCCGGAAATTGATTGAGTAATAAACATTAAATTATCTAACAAATAAACATCCACTAGTGTTATAAACTTACAAATAATTATTTAATATTAATATAATAAATTCACGCATTTTTTAGAAGATAAAAGTGAAATAATTATAATTTTATTGTTCCACGCCATCTACCGATGACATGGTAAACTTCCTAGAGTACAGGTGGACGTAAAGCTTTCGTGAGTATGCGTGCGCATCGGCGATGGCGAGATTGCAGCAGAATGCTTCATTCTTTATTTAAAAAAGCCGGTCCTAAAAAAACGAACTACCTCTACAGTTTCTGGGTTATACGTTTGCTGGAATCACCAACAAAGGTATATTGCAAAAATAAATCGTATGTAACTTCAACGTACATAAGACAAAGTCAACTTTTATCTGGTACTTATTCCAAGCTTTTTCGTTTATGAAACTAATTAACTAAACACAAAATATCTGTGACACAGATAACTCTTCAAGACATTAAATAAATAAGCTGGAATTCTGAATTAGAACATTAACATTTTTTTTTTCAAATAAATATTCCTATATTCGTCTATATTATATTAGCGTATTTTTCTATTTCTTTTCATTTAAGAGTTTCCTTTTGTCGGTGCAACCAATTCATGCATCTTCCAGCCAGCACTATCCCAAGCCATATCCTTGACCTCCGTATACATCATGACACCCAGTGTTTCTTTTATCTGTCTCATGTAGTTATTCTTCGGTCTTGCTCTTCCTCTTTTGCCCTCTATTTTTCGTTCTACTATGCTAAAAAAATCGTCATGTCGTATAAGGTGGCCCAGCATTTTGCCTCTTCTATACTCTATTATTTTAATTATACCTATATTCTTATACATCATGGAATTCATGTTCATTATTATTATGCAACTAATCTATTTTTGTTTAATTCTAAAATAACATCCAAACTCACAGATTCAATAATAAATTGATACACAGAAATGTCTAGACTACATTTCATTATAATTGTATCACTAGTTAGATATACAGATTATGTAGACAGATGACGATACAGATACAACGAGCTGAATACATTTCAGAGATGAATAATACATGACAATGTCTCTTACATAACGGGCTGTGTTTACATCGCGCCATTTATGAATCATTACCGTCCTCATTTGCATACTTATTGTATCCGATGGGAGATAATTTTGGTGCTATAATGACTTTATGGGTAATTATCCTGACCTTGACGTATTAAAAATTCTCTGAAACTGAATCATTGTGACATATTTTTTTGTAATTTTTTGACAATGTATTTTAACAGGTAAATTACATTTTTTGTATAATATATATTCGTTACCTCTGCCCTTCATATGCATTCTGTTTTTACCTAATGTTTAGCTGGTAGAGAATGCCATATGGCATTAAGCTCGCCATTTGTACAAATTTCATTGTGCAATAAAGCATAAATAAATAAATTTTGAACCTTGCATACTTGCAGTGGCGTGAGTATACCATTTGGGCCCTTGGCAAATTCTTCGGATAGAATTCTTATAATATAAATAAAAAATCATTCATTTTTTGATGGATAGAATAGCCAAGTTGAAAAGCTTGTTTTTATCTTGGTAGTTTATTTGTATAGGTGTAATTATTTATTTTTTTACTAATTTATACATATAATAAATAAATATTAGATTCTTGCTGAGCTCACAATCTTTTGGACCAGGCGCCTTCTCATGCCGGAGACCTGTGGCATTTTACTGCTCTGTTTATACAGGAGGTTCAAGGTATTTCGACCCATGTTTCTATAGTAAAAATATATTAACACTCTCTTAAAGGATTATTATATAATTTTAAATGGTAAGCTGACGATCCATCTGATAGAAAACCTGCAGTGAACAGTGTTACTTCCGTACCCTGTAATTTCTGTGCCCTATCCCATCCTTCAATCTGAACATAGTTTTGCAAACGCATAAATTATTTTTATTTTACCCCGTAACAATAATAATAAACTCACCTTCACATTTATACAAGTAATATTCAACAGTTCTTTACAATGTGATACTTTTTTTAAGGTTGGAGTTTCCCAAAGACGAAAGAGATGCACTAATGGGATACACTCGCAGTCGTCTGGACACATAGATTAGTTCATGGCTGGGATTGATTCATGGTTGGACGTAGGATATAGGGGGAGTTGCAGTAGGGGATCAATAGCTGAATATTATATCAGAGTAGATTTTATTTCGAATGGGCTATGAATGGGGATGAGTGGGGTGGAAGGGGGATAAAACAGTGGTCTGAATTTGTGTACCGCATTTGACGCTATGTGATGGTTAGATGCAAAAGCGTATATACTGCGATATTAGTAAGTACTAATATTATGAATGTGAAAGTGAGATTTTTTGTTACCTCTGAGTGCCTTAACACCTTATCCAATGAAATTAAGTTTACACATATTTATAATTAATGGAAGACATAGGCTACTTTTATCTCGGTCATACGGACGAAGTCGGGGGAAACAACTAGTTTAATGTAATAACCATCCATAAGTAGGGTTTGCTTTGAGATACACTATTGGTCGGAATCATTAGATATATTCTTTACACAGCATCTTTCGTTCCAGATACAAATCGTCTTCTAAGTGTATGTCATGCAAATTTATCTAACTATTCTGGATAACCTATCACAACTCGGCTTTCTAACGGGTTAAACGGGAATGTAATAACACTACTGGACATACTGCCTGCCACTACTCGTCAGTTTTACATAGAAATTATATAGTCACTGTTAGGGTTGAATAAACAGACACACGGATATTGGACTAATTAATTTATTACCTTATCTTACGGATATAACCAAATTGTATCAGACATTAGTCTGTTCATTTTTTTTATACCATTGAAATGACAAAAAACATACGGCCCACATGATGGTAAGCGATTATAGTAGCCTATGAACGTCTGCAATAACGAAGTCATTACGCGTGCTTTGCCGACCCTGAATATACCTGTTTATCCCTT